AACTACCATTGATTCCGATGTCTGGGACATACCTTACGTGTATTTAGTCACTGTCCACCTTGTCGCAAAGTTGCTAATGCTCGAAACCTCATTTCTAGTCTCTTACGCCCCCCGCTGTCGATTTTGTTATTGGAGCTTTCAACGTCCACACCTTATGGCTAATCGGACAGCAGGCATCGTTTGCCAGAACTGTGAAATTTCTAGCCACGGATGTATGCTGTGTTTCTGAGATGCGTGTACGTGACTCTAGTATGCTTATCCACTCGATCTCATCTGACCATCACTGTGAATCTTCAAAATTCACCTTAGGAGTACCCGGAGACCCTATGATTAGCTCTGATGGACTCGCCGGTGTAGACATAGCATTGAGTTACAGAGAAAAAAGCACACCCCTCGACCGGAAACTCGTCAACAGCCGTCTGTATACTGTTTGACTGAATGGATCTGTAAGAAGTGAGACGGGTCGGGATAATTACCGATACCTATTCGTAGCCTCCGTCTGCGCGCCGACCGACTGCAGTTCGAATTATGCAAAAGATGCATTCTATGAAAAGCTGTCAATTTTGCTACAGAAAGCAACTGATTCAAATGTAGTCATAATGACAGGAGACTTTAAAACTCAAGCAGGGAAGCTGAGCGAATCAGAAAGGCACTTTGGGAGGTATCTACGGAATCCCATGCCAAAGAATCGACAACGGTGGTCTTCTGTTGAGATTTCGTTCTGCAAATCACTTGTTTCTAGTCAACACTAACTTCAAGCATAAGGAAAGACGCTGTCACATGGCGTCAGCCGACATCAAAACGAACAATGCATACAGACAGATCACAGTGCTATAAGCCATGGTTGGAGAGCATGGGTGGAGGATTACAGTTTTTTTTTGAGTCTCTGTTTGAACTCTGAACACGATTGTATTTCTGCATCTAATTGGTCGCAGAAAACAGGTGGTAGTTAGGCCTGTGTGTGCTCAACTGGAAGATGAGAACATGGAGTACATATTTTGGGAGGAGATAGCGAGGCAGTTATTTGAACGTGATGGTAATCCTCATTCTGTTATAGAAACACCAATACAGCTAGTTAGTAACTTACATGCAAAAGTTAGCAACCGCCCATAGATTTTCGCTACGTCATTGGGACCAGTTGGTTCGAGAAGACTCAATCCAGTAGGCTCTGACCGAAATGAAGAGAGAAAGCAACTTGGACGTAAATTGACCAAGAGTCTTCGTAGTTATCGTAAGCAGTAGTGGGTGACAAAAGTGACAAAGATGAAGATGGTGTCAACATCAGGTATTAGCCAGCAGTCATATAGGCTTATTAAGGATACCGGCAAGAAGACGATGGTGAGTAAAACGGTTGCCAAAACGGATAGTTCTCTGTTAGTATCATGACAGACGGCTAGAACGTTGGCGGAACACCTTGAGGTACAGTCCAACTAGCTCACAGCAACGCTTGAGGTGTTCAGCATACAGCTTGAACCTAAATAGGACTTATATGTCAGTCCTCCAACTCCCCTGGAAGTTAAGAAGTCTGTTTCAAACCCGAATCGATGCAAAGCAGCAGAACCTGACGGTTAGCCGCCAAAACGTTTTTAAGGATGGAGGTAGGAAATTGATGAATCGAGTAATTAATGGGTGTACTATTTAGTGTATGGGAATCAGAGGTGGTCGCATCAGACTGTTCTACTTTACTGATCATCCCAGGTTATAAGAAGTGAGAAAAGTTTTCCTGTTTCAACCATAGGTGAAGCAGACTGACTAACATCGTGCGCAAGATCCTTGGGTTAATAATTAATATATGCCTAACTGGAGCTAAAGAAAACCAGGTAGTTTTCCTACCTGGAAGAGGGTGCATCGATCATCTGTTAACCCTTCGATAGGGTATGGAACACAGGCATACTTGATGATCTCCGACAATCGCCATATTTCTTGACCTGACGGTGGCACTTGACTCTGTCGACTGAGGTGTTTCGGGAGTGTCTGATTGTGAAGGAAGTACGGATTAAGCGTGAGGCTCCAATCAGAGTTTCCATTCAAACTCACGTGGCTGTGTATGGGCTTATGGAGGGTTGCCATCAGAACTGATGAGCATTAGTGGTGTCCGATAGAGATGCCGACTATTACCGTTCCTGTTTAACTTCTTTATATGTATAGTGATGGACATGACCTTAGCTACCTCTTACCTCACAATGACTGATCTACTCCCTGAAGGTCATATGGTTGACTTTGAGTATGCAGACGATATTGTCCTGCTAGTTGGATATGGTGACAAGATGCAGGGTCTTGTGAATGTGTTGAGCTCTAATCTGAGTATGTTTGGCGTGGGCTTTGCACTTGTCAAACGTAAGATGATGCTTCAGGACCGGTCTGCAACTATCCTTAGTCTAATGATAGGGCGTGATGTGGAATGCATCGACCACTACACTTGTGAAGTTACATCAGTCCGGACGGGCTGGTTGCTGGTGAAATCTCATTTGGGATACAAGAGGCCCTTTAGTTATTAGCCAACATCTCTTCTGGTTTCAGGGTCATCCTACTACCGAGTAAAGGACGAGCATACTTGGCTACCGCCCTCTTTGTCCTGTTATGCACCTAAGACATGGTTGTTAAAAGTAAAATATATGAAGTGGTTACAGTGTTTTGATCGTTGGCGGCTTTGCAGCATTGCTCACGTATCGTGAAATCACCACGTAAGGAATGTCAAGGTTGGGCGAAAAGTACTAGGCAAGGAAGGAAAGTTGGTTGGTGAAACTGCGAGCCTTCATCAACTAGTGCCTTGGATGTGTTGTACATACCGAATCACCGCCTACCTCAACGTGCAGTGTTAGTCGAAGTACAATTTCGTTTGCAAAAAGGCTCAGAGTGACCAGATCAATATGTGATACCAGCCCATGAAGCATCTAACTGTTGGTCTGAGCCACTTCAGGAAGTGTAGACTACCTGGTTTGAGTCCTCGAGAGGGTAGGAGTCATTGATTGAAAACCCTTTGTGATATGGCTGAAAGTCACTCACAGTGGGGGGATGTATTCACTGCTTGACGACCTTTGAAGCTTGAATATTTTCCATAAACATTCCCAGTTTCTTTGTTTTCACAAAAACCTTCGTCAACATTGATGTCACTTTTCCTATGCACTTGTTCTTTGTCTGATACTCTGAAGTGTGGCAAGTTGAACCGATACACTTGGTTGCGAAGTTCTACGTTGATTTTGTCTCTTTCTGTCACACAATGTTTGCTGAAGTATGCTTAGGTTGGAAAATGGTAATCGGTGGTCAAACTACAACACGGCATCAGTCTGTGGAGTCATGTAACGAAATCCAGGCTTTTTGGTTTTGGTTTGTGTGATAACCAAAATCAATGGTTAGAGACTAGGTGTTGTTACCGGAAGTCGGTGTCGGTAGCATAGATGCGTGCCTCATCCGAATACTGAATTTCATTGCTGTGCCGTTCCCTCTTGTTTAAGCGTCCTCTATTACTTTTGGTTCCTTTGTTCCTTCTTTCTTTTCGATGCTTTCTACTTTGATATACTGTTATGCGGTGTGGTTGGATCGCACGTTGATGCTGACTAACTGTTCTTGTATTTTTCAAAAAGTAAACTATGTACCTCTTGTGTTGTATTTATCTAGGTACATATCAAAGAACTAATATAATACACAGCAGCTCATTGTATACTACTGCAAGGCTATGAAACTGGGTCGTTAAAAGAAATGGTTCGAACTGGTACTTATTATGGATGGACATCAGTTAAAGAAACATTGGAAACGTGGGAGCACTAGATGGCTATTTCCTTGCCATTGAACCACTGGGCCGGAATCCAATAGTCCACATTCTCTACTTCTGTCTGGGGTCCATTCCCTGACGGGGTCATGGGTGCACATTGCCGAAGAGTCCCATACTAGGGAGAAACAGCTATCCAATGCTCCCATGTTTTCGATGGTTCTTCAACTGATATCAGTCCGAGATGAATATCAATCGGAAATCAATAAATAAATCCCCACAAACCTCCAAATTGGGAATGTTAGGAGGCTGCATGTTTTTCTTTTTAACCAAAGATGCCTTCACTCTGGTACTGGCATGTTGTGGGACTACTATGTAAGCAGCGTCGAGTTTAGGGAGAGTAATAGGCAACTAAAACAAATCAACTGACAAAGTCGTAAGCCTGCAGCGACTGTGATAGCTTAAACATATGCTGCGCATACCCAGCCACTACTTTCACCAACACACTATTAGTTTAAACAGAATAATATTTGGAGGAATGTAATTGTATTGAGACTAATATAGGGCGTCAATTCGCAGTCTCATCTGCGTAGAGAGGTGTAGATCGCCTATATGAGGGTTTCGAGACGATAAGGAACAATGGTTTCGTCGATATGACCCAAAATAGAGATATAACAGTCCAAGTGTTTACACTCTGTATCACCACCAACATTCTAAATAATTCTACTTGCCTTGTATTTATTTACTGAAACGATCACTGGTGTAACCTAATATTAGCTTAGCACGTCAGAAGTAAATTCAGTTTATACACTAAATTAAGGTTATATTTGATGGCTTACTTATACGATTATTGGTCATATAAATCAACTACATAATGCATAAGCACTACGTTTTGATTTATCATGAGTATCACAATATATTAGTCTGGTTTTGGTTGTCGATTTTACTCCTTCATAATGTCACTAAATTTGAGTATGAAACAGAGCTGTGGCTCAGTGGTTTATGGAGACAACTACCAACCATTGGGTCACGGGTTCTGACCCCGCTGCATCTACCAGGGTTTGGGTAGTCAGGTTGCAACACTAACTCTCATTGGCTTATTGCCTACTGCGCTTATGTGCTCAAGGTAGCTGAGTGCGTTTTTTAGTGTGAAATAGGGCGTCTGCTGTCTATAGGATGAAATGAAAATGTCTAGGTATATATGTTCATCATCTATGTATTGTATACTTTCTATATAAACTAAACTGCTTTCATGACAGTGGCTGTTTTCATTGTTTCACTACATATACAGATCGTCATTGATGTCTCGATTATCTCCCTCAGCAGCTGAGAAGTTCAGTGCAGAAAATGCGCCAAGCAAACGTCTTTCGGAAACATTAGCAACTGCTGAAGACCTGTTGACCTCAGCTCATGCAGGCAATGCTGATTTTATAACCGACATCCCGAAGAAGTTATCAACAGTTATAAGCTCTACAACCAATAAAATACTATCAACGACAATGCCTAAAACTGTTCCCATGTTGAATGATATGTCCATTTCCAAACATGAACCAGTAATTAAACCGTGTAGTGATTTAGTTATACCTGTGGGGAAAGAGTTTTACGATCAACATTGTAAAGATCCTGAAGTCAAAAGCAGCTTCATTCAACGTTTGCTGCTAGAGTCGGAGGAATTTTTGTCACAAAAAGACTGTCTTATCACGGAGCTCAGCCCTATTCAGAGCAAGTTCCACCATAGCTTCGTAGATTCGCCTAAAATCTTGTCCCATTTGGATTCAACGAAATCAGCATTTATTGGACAGAAGCTAGATAAAACATTAGATCCCTCCAATGCTAATGGAACTTCTTTGAATGATATAGAACTAACAATTAGTCCTCATAAACCTGTACATCAAGGGCATACTGGAATGAATATTCAGAATATGACCAGTGGAGAATCCAAAATACAGGATCAACAGTCGTCACTTCACACTAGCAGGCCAAACAACAACGGTGAGACTGATGACTTCATTGACAATAAGCCCAGCAAACTGGATTCCACATCTATTTCTCAGGGAGCACCGAAACCATCACCCATAAAGAGTGGCAGTCGTATCTCAAATATTTCAAAATCTTTTGATGAAGAAATTTTACGTAATGTAGACTTGAATCTTGAATTACTGAAGCACGTCCAGGAACCAGAAGAGAAGATAGCCAATTCAGATGCTAATGAGGGTAACGAACTAAAGACGAGTGTCAGTGATGTGCTAACTTCTAGTACAAACATGGATAAGTGGAATGACAGTGGGAATCGTTTTAATAATATGCCGCCGCCAACCCATGACTCCAGTGGAAAGAAGCTTAAAAAGCGATCCAGATTTAGTGCAAAGCCTACAGAGTCTAGTGAATCTGTTTCTGTTCTAACTTCAGAAGTACCTTCTTTCATTCCTGGTCGACTACAAGATAATGACGATGCTAAGGAAGATACTAATGAATCTGTTGCTTTAGTTCAGGATAACCAAGATATCACAGACATATATCCTCTTCGTGACATCCCATCTGACTGTTGGGTATTCTCAGATTTGACGGTGACCAAAGTTCGGAATAAACTGCAGCAATCTTTTCCACGTTTATCGGGTTCATCAGGCTCTAAGGATGAAACTGCAAATGATCTTACTTCATCGGAGCATAGCTTAATTGAGAAAATGAGGGATATATTGCGTAGTGCTGTTGAAAGTGACAGTCCAGTTATTTCTAAAGCCACTAATAATAGACGAAATCGTCCAAGATCACTTACAGGTATATTACTTGTTCCACCATCCAGTTTATCTAGTACATGTGAAGCAAAATTAGCACCTCATCCATTAAGCATGCCTTCATCCCACAGAAGTTATCATGATATTAACACCATGACATCTCCTTATCTTCATAACACTGCACTCCTGAATGATGCGGATGTTCAATGTGATATATGGCCCAGCAGTAATAACAATAGCAATAATTTGTTATGTAGTCGCTTCGCCTCACAGTGTTCAAATGGTATTGTCAACACACCTACACAAAAACCCTTGGGTACTGTGCCACCGATTTTGCGTGATCCTACCTCTGATCTTAATACATTATCATCAAATGTCACTCAGAATTTGCCACAACTCAGCAGTCAATCAGTGTCTGGTATAAATATCTTCGACAGCCTATGCTTTGTTGAAGAACAACTGGGTAAAATTATCAAGCAGGAGGATGAAAAGTAAGTTTCAACTTGCTATAATGATCATTGAGATTAATAGTTTCAGTGTGTATGGTTTACAAGATTGTAATAGTAAAACTGTCTGTCAAATAGTGATTAATATTGGCTCTTAGGGGAGAGTAGAACGTCTCACCCTATTCGTATCTTGCTCACTGTTTCCTGCATCCTGAAATTTGATCATTTCTATGAGGAACAGCTGGAATTGGTATACTTTTACGTACATCTATATTGTCCACTAAATGTTTGAACTATGACTATGACTCTCTGTGTAACTAACTGGGTATAATTGCTGCTTCTGGTGTTACACTAATCAAACTGATCCGATTGTTTTGGTACATACTCTATTGTTCGGCTGATTCTAAAATGTTTGTCGTGTTTAATACGACACATGAATCATAATAAATTGATACTATCACTTTGCATGATGTTTTATATGATTTTTATCTTGGTCTTCTGAACACGGTATATGCACTAGCTTACCAATTGATTGTCTAGCTGTTCAAAGTGATATTGTTTCACTCTAACCAACTTCATTACAATATCTACTAGTTGAAATTACTGTAAAAGTTGTTCACATTCCATTGAGTAGTAGGATAGTGTATCTCTTGAAAGCAAGTTTACTTCATGTATTCTATCTTCTGCTATCGCATCAACTGCTGGTAAGGGATCTTCTCTGGAAGTGGGAATATATCATGGAGTGCCTTTTTATATGATCTTTTCAGGGTAAAAACAATTTAGCTTGGTTGTAATTTGTTTATTGTGTATAGATGTACATCAACTGACTAGCAAATCTTAAACAGACTAAACGAATGTGCGTAATAACTTTACTGATATCGATATTAGGCCATTCTGTATAGATTTTCATGGTATGTACAGTGTAGCAAGGATACACATTTTTCTCTGTGTACGTCTCAAACAAAGTAAACATATCCTGTTTCATAGGTTATTATTTTCATTTTGGTTTATTTTTTTGACAGACTTCAAAATAGTAACGCCTCTACTGAAATATTCAAGGCAGAAGAATATAAATTTGAAGCATCCAGATGTTGGAAGGCATTAGTCAGTGCAATCTCTTCTAGTTCACGTGGTAGTTCTAGTGAAGCTCCAAATCGTTCTCAGATGCTTCTTACTCTACAAGCACTTCATGAATATCCAGTACAAATGACTAAATCCGTAAGGCATTATTTAGCTGCTGCATACATCTTTGAATCAAAAAATGAAATACTCAGAGCTGTTGGTCTACTCACTGAAGCTGGGGATCAGATTCAGCATTGTGTTCGTCGAATGCATCGAGTTGAAGCAAAACTAACTAAACGCCGAAACCATCGTAATGAAACTGAGAATTCCTCTGATGTAAATGAATTAGTAACAAAAGGTAGAAATGATGCTAGCTGGATGTATTTATGGTATTATGTCCTAATGAGAATTAAAGCTATTGTCGGCTTTCATATTTATCGTTTGCAGTTACAGTCTATAGAATCTCTTCGTGAAGAGGTAAATTTTCTTCAGACTTTAAATGCCTATTGATTGGTTGAATTCACTCTTTTTAATCTCTTTAAAAGTATTTATGTCGTTTAACAATAATACTCCAAACTTCCTTTATTAGGATAAATATTGACCACGATAATCATATTCTGTCACTTTGGGGATATTTGTATCTCTCTAATTAGTTAACCACTCCTAGAAGTTGAGGTTTACAAACATCTTTTCTTTGTTTACCTCACTGTCTTTCATGCATACAATCACTGCTTCTGTGCTTTTACAGTCACTTTTGCTGAGTTTGAAAAAATGGAGGATATTATTTGATTTGACGATGGCAGAAATTATCAGGCGAATGTCTTAACCGCTGTCGCTATTCCATCACAATCTCCCAGTGGCAATAAAGTATTGGGTATAAAAACCGACTGAAACGATAGGGTGAATGGAAAGACAAACTAGTCAACGTAAAGATGTATATTCAGATGGATGTAAAAGGAATAGTTCTCGATTTCCAAGTTGCTTGAAAATCGGTCCTTTGTTTTTTTTTTTGAAGGTATTGGTTTTGAATCTTCAGAACCCCATCCATTTTTGCAATCTGTTGTCATCCAGTCAAAATAAATAGGATTTCAAGGTTTACCCTTTATCATCAAGAGCCAACTCATCGATGTATTAGATGTATACTACAATATTGTGGAGCTCAAATTTTCGATGTGAATATAATTAACAAATAATACATTTGTTAGCCATGAAATTACAATCTGCATACATTCATATATCCACTCACGTGGTTCCTGCATCACTTGTTAACCTCTCGAATAATCGATTTCATCACGCTATATTATTTTAGTGTATCGTGTACAAAGACGGATAAAAATGCGTATGGCCTTTTATCTTCAAATGTACTACATCGATAGTCAGTAATTCTTTAAACAGTAGTATTTTGCAGTGGTTATTAAAGAATAAACACAAGACATTTATTAGCTAAGAAATATTTCTTTTCAACTACTTCATTATCAAGCTGTACAATCGTATTTATACTCGATAAAACTACAGATAATTACATTAAAAACTTGCTCCATCAATATACAAAATATACAATATGTGTTGGTGGTGGTAAGTAATTTGTTCAAGTGGAAGAAATAGAAAGTGGGTGACCGAATAAGGAACGAATTGATAACAAGTGGTGTGATATAAGAGACAAGTAGTGTCAAAGAACTGTAAAACAGTGATAATTTAACTGAAATAAGCAAAATAGGTCAATGAATAAGGAACAAATTGATATTAAATAATGAGGTATTGGCCAAATGCTGTTAGTGAAGTGAAAATTGGTGATAATGATGGTAATTAAACTGAAGCATGCAAAGTGAAGCGAAATGAAATTGACGAAATCACCAATATGTATTGTTGAGGCCAAGGTAGAGAAAGTGGTTTCATGAAACGATTTTGAACGCAGCATAGTTTCGATCTTGTTCATGTATGGCTAATGCTTCAGCTATGCATATGTGGTGGAAACGTAGACCTATAAGAGTAGTTCAATTTAACTTTGTAAATTACTTTAAAGGATGAATCTCGAGGTGCTGAATGACCTAACTCTACTCGGTGTTCACATATGAAGTCGTTTTTCTTGGCCTGCCTTTGGTAAACCAAACCGCGTAATGTTCAGCAACACGTTTTCGGAGGGCCTGCTTACGAAGTCCAATACAGTTAGCTCCTCACGAGCGTGTGAACTTGTAGATACACATAGATGTGGACATAAGTGGTAGCCTGTTCTTCGTACACTGTCGGCGGCTGGAAAAAACCAATCTATCTAGCAGCATAAAAGGAGCTATTGATACACTTTGACAGACGGTTTGTTAGCACTTCAGCTGTGGTATCTCCTTTCAATCCCGGATTCATGGTTAAGATTTTCTTAGGAACGGTAATGCCCTGTCCTGGCTGATATCTTCATGGCAAAGCTCGAGAACGGGCCGCTTCAAGAAATAATCTAGGAACTTTATTTGTATAAAAGGCACATTGACGACACTTCTCTTATTTGTAACGTAGCATGTTCTGTGGATGAGCTGCGAAGACGTTTCAATAATTGTCACCCATCCATTAAATTCACTGTAGAGGAGGAGTTTAATTCAACGTTCCACTTTCTAGATGTTACGTTAAAGAGAAGGGATGAAGGCTCGATTCAAAAAACAGTCCGTCGAAAACCAACCTGGATCGACCAGTTCACTAACTTTAATAGTTGTAGAATAAATCTCATTCACTCGCTGTGTAAAATATGTTCAGAAGATACGGTGGATGTTGAAATCGAAACTCTTAGAACAACACTATCTAATAACGGTTAAACTAAAAGATTTATTGATAAAAATTTGAAGAAACGAATCACTCCCCATCCCATTACAGTTCCTAAGAAAGTCTTTCAGTTTCAGCCTTATCCAATTGTTATCGGGTGTGTAAGTAGTTAGTAATTGCATGTACACCTTTTTAAAGGCTTTGACCAGTGGAAACAAAATAACATATTAAAAGTGTAGAGTGAACCGATCAGCGTTTAGTATCTTAAACCGCGGTGAAAATAACTGACATTGCGTGAAGCGAAAAAGGCGCAAAAATAAGGTTTACATTTAACAATGAACAGTTAATTTTTTAGGGATAAAACATCCCTAATAATAATCTCTTCCTAGTAATCTTCTGGATACTTTATCTAGCATGACGAGGTAAACATGATGGTATGTAAATCTCTTTGGTGGAAAGATAGGTTACTGGTTTAAGTATCAAACATCTAACCATTGTGGTATTGAATCTTGCCTCTTTCGTGTTATTTCCATCTGAGCAGTCGGGAAACATCATACATGCTCATGCATTATAGATTATTCGTCATAAACTAATAAATAAACATTTAAAATCTCTGAATTATATTGTTTTGAGATTACTAATCTCCATTGATATTTCAGTTTTCTGAGGTAGGCATAGTTGTTGTTACACCTTTCAAACTAATCCATTATATATAACTATTTTTTTTGTTTTTCTTATTCTAGATTGACTCAAAACTTTCAGTGATACAACAGCATATTCCTAGCTTAAATGAAGTCATTAGTTTACCTAAAACTTTGAACAGTCCTTCCTCATCATCATCGAAAGTACTCACAGATAAACCTAAGATACCTTCCAATCCCTCTTCTGAAGATGGTAAGCGTTGTAATGTATATATTTGCTTCAATTCAAGTATTTTGTTGTAGTTGTTGGTGTGCGTACCGGTATTTATCGATGAACTTCTGTAGGATATGTAGGAAGCCTAGTTGTCGTATTTTCCATTTATGAATATTTTCATTGAAAGGCATTTATTGGAGCATATTATATCATTTGTAAGGATAGGAAGTGAAGTGGTGGAATGCGTAAACTGCTTCACTTACTTGGGGAGTTGCATTAGCATGAGTAGCCTGGTTGCTAGTGAAATCTTAGCTGGAATGCAGAAGCCTCAGTGGCCACTTGCTAACTTGCGTCACCTCTGTCGCCGTCTGGCGAGATATCAAACTACCTATTAGAGAACGGGTAAACTCCGCATATAGTCCTCTCCGTCCTGTTTTATGGCTATGAGATATGATTATTGAAAGTAGAAGATATAAAGCGGTTGTAAGTTAATAATCACAAGTGTCTACTCAGAATTCCTCGCATATAGTTGAATCGCCATGTTAGCCATGTTAAGATCGATTTGGGACTAATGGATGAAATCTTTGACTGTTGGTCTGATTCGTGTAGGCAGGTGCACACTACCTGATTGTGGTCCACTAGACAATAGGACTCTTGTTGAAAATGGTTGAAAGTCAGTAACAATGGCTTAGATGTATTCACTCTTTGATTTCTTCTAAAGTTTGGATGTTTTGACTAACCTTAATTTTCCAATTCCCTCTCCTTCGATACACGTTTGTCTACTTTAATATCAGTCGTTTCCTGTCCACTTGTTCTTTGTATATTATTCTGAAATATGACAAGTTGGGCCGATAATCTTGTGTTCAAAGTTCTACGTTGATTTTGTCTCTATGTCTGTTTGTATTTGTAATTTGAGATTAGGTAGTTTGAAAAGTTCAGCACCAGTTTATTATAGTATGTGGCAATCATATTTATTTTAAGTATAGGTGAACATTTAACTAGATTTTTTGTAAGGATTTCTAACAGTTGTCTGTTTCTCTTTGAATGATGCACTGGAGCATATTGGCTAAAATTATCATTCTACTTTGAATCTTAGGGATTTGATCTTCTGATGCATCGCGAGGCTTCGCAAACATATATCCACTTAAAATCATTCTCATTTTGTTAAGTATTAGATAATTTACTACTCCAATGATGAGTAAGCTTGAGCATCGAGTCAATTGATTGGTTGATGAATTAGTGATAAAGGTCGGAAAATTCATTAGATCAATGTAGTTTGAATGTAGACACTTTTTCCCCCATCTTTTCTCAAACTCTTCTGTCAACATATATAGCTATTTATGCCAATAATAACAATGTAGGATAAAGTATATGAAAATGCAGTATAGCTATGTCATTATGCAGTTCTGTATACAAATCTGTACAATTCTTTCTACAATCCATATGAATTATAGTTACTTAAAGTATTGATTCCAGGCATATTTACTGGCTGTCGTTTACAATGCGTATACACCGAATTATGTTGTGATCAATAACACTAAATCCCTCAGTCTTATGAAAATCACACTTTCATGACAGTTAATCATACTGCAGTCGAAAATAATCGACTACAACAGAAAATCACCTTATCATGTAACTCATTTTGTTTCGTCTTAACATTATTCTAGTTTATATGAACTATGATCAAAGTTTGATCGGATAGTATGGAAAATATTAGGCGTTGAGTAAGAGATTGACATTAGACATAGATTATATTTAGAGGTAGTATTCATCATGGACTGACATCAGTTGGGGAACCATTAAAAATCTGGGAGCACTGGACAGCTGTGTCGTCCTAGTATGGGACTCCTCAGCAGTACGTTATACATTACTGTATAGTGCTCATTAGTGACTTGCTCCCAGATGGATATCAGGAAGCTATAATGAGAAGCCTTGACCTGTGGGATCGACCAATCGGAAGTGAAATGGATGCTAACTGAAAACCTAGGGTGATGGTCACGCTATATCATGAGTTGACAGAAGTTGGAAACTGTGAACCACTGAGAACCGACCCAGTGGCTGAGTGGTTAGTGCGTTCGTCGTGAAACCTGGAGGTCCCTAGTTCGATCCCCAGCCGGGTCGTGGGTGCCTACTGCTGAGGAGTCCCATACTAGTTTGACGAAACAGCTGTCCAGTGCTCCCAGATTTTCAATGGTTCCCTAACTTATGTCAGTCGATGATGAATACTACTTCTAAATTAGAAATCCCCACTCATCTCAAAAGTACATTATAGATTATATTTGTTTAAGTCAGAAGGAAAAAGCTTGGACCAGATTTCCGTATGAAACGTTGGAATTATCTGATTTCAAACTCGCTGTGATTTACACGAATATAATCTATATCTAATTATTCAAATGGTTAAATTATGTTCTATCAGCTTTTAGTATTAATCACACAATAACGATTAGGTTCATTTTTAGTTCTGAAGGCAAAATTGCTCAATTGTTCACAGGTGTTAAAATGGTTTCCATAGTAGAAGTTTTTGACTTGAAAACGCTATTGGATATAATCCGTAAAATAACATATCCAGTAGCTGTTTTATAATTGTTGGCAATATTCAGTTGAAATGCTTACTTTGTCTATATATATATATATATATATATATATATATATATATATATATATATATATATATATATATATATATATATATATATATATATATATATATATATATCCTTTTTAGATCTAAAGAAAATGTTAGAATCTCTGGTTAGTCAATTCATTCGGCTTAACCAGTTGACAGCTTGTGTACGTAGTGCGATGATGGAATGGCAACAGGCAGATGAACTAATCACAAAAGTTCCACATCTAAAATCTCCACACATAATAATTCCACCTATTGGTGGACGTAAACCTGATACTTCAATCGATAACATTTCATCGTCTGGACATCTTCGACTGATTCATTCCATTGATGTAGACATCGCAAGTGCTTCAGATGGTGCATATATTACTTCATCTCAAATCCCTATTTTGGTTTTATTACGTTATATGGATGGTATTTTCCATGTTCATCCACTCATTATTGATCAGTTAAAATATTCTAGTGGATCAGATACAACTCAGTCAGTTTTTTCAGGGAAAAGTAACTCAAATGAATTACGTAGTCCCATTACAGTTTCACAAGAACAAAAATTGGTCTCTTCTACATTCTCTATGACAAACGAATCTGTTGCTTCAACTAATACAAATTTCACAACTGTTACTAACATTCCGAATAAACAAGAATCTAGCCGTCCCAAATCAATCACAAATACAAAATCAACATTTCTAAACACGGAAACAAACAATACAAAATTTCAGTCTGAACCACCTCTTAGTGTTAAAGAAAGACTTTCCAAGAAAAAGTCTCATAAAAAACATACTTATGTTGCACCATCACCACCGAGCTCCATTGCTTCATCTGTGACAAAAGAGTCTCCATCCCATCATCCTAATACACTAGAGGAAAACTACTCTGATGCCTCTGTGCCTTCTTCCAAACATGAAATACCTGATACTTCTAAGCAGAAATCAAAAAGACGACGTTTATTGCAACTAGATGAATCCTTGCCTACAGATGCCTTTCCAAATAATTCTGATACCGATGTAGATAGTTGTGGAAGACCTTTCCCTGTTATTAAGTGCAATGAATCACCTAAGAAAAAGCGTCATAAATCTAAACTAGAAACCAATAATAATAATAAACTACAGGAGTGTTTTAATCATCCAAAAAAGTTTGATCGTAGTGATAACTCCAGTTCTCAAGATCGAAAGCCCCGTACAGACAAGCAGCTGTCTTCGAAAAAGAAGTCATCTAAGCGATCGCACACACATACAGAACATCCGAGTTTACAGGGCAGTGAAGGTTCACATTCACGTAACAGAATCATTGCTTCAGATGATCGATCACCTAATGCATCTCCTCCGCCATCGCGAAAATTTTGTCGTAGCAAGAGTTTAGCACCTACTGGATCCAGATCTCCTAAGTCTGCTAATGTAGTTACAAATATACATGACATAAATTATCCTATCGCACCAGATGATAATACTTACCAACCGAAAAGAGTTAAACCGTCAGACACTAAGATTGACTGCGGACGCATTTCTAATTCTGAGTCATCTGAATCTGGATCCTCTCCGATGCCTACGTATCGACCGTCAGTTCCCGTTGATTCGCCAAATACTGACTATGAACGTAACCAACACCGTCGTTCTTGTTCAGTTCACCTCTCTTCGTTAAAGCAAAAGAATACATCACTGCTAATGACATCTGAAAGCCCTCACGATGAACTATCACATGATTCAACAGGTTATAGTCCAACTAAAGGGAATTTTCTGGATGGAAATTCTTCAAGCATAACAGATACAAACAACTTACCTGTTTATCATGTTTCTCATATTCCTTCAAGCTCACCCACCAAATCTCCATGCAATAATAGATCTGTTAACAATGTAGTTCGATCTAAGAGTTCTCATCGTTCTGAATTCCGAACTCAACCGTCATCTGCAGTGCCGTCATTCTACTCCCGTTGGATCAAGGAACCATCCAATCCGGACCGGTTTCCTGGTGCTTCAATTAACAATATTAGCAACAGAAAACATTCCCATTGGTAGCGTGTAAATGTATAAGTGTTAATATTACCACAATCACCATTATTATTGTATCAAACTAATTTCTGGAGAATCGGTCTTTCAATACAATTACACCTACATCTGTCGAGCTTATAAACTGTAATAGTGATTCATGTATTTTTTGCAGCACATTCAGTGTTGCCGCCTTTTTTTATACCCTATTTTGTTTTTCTTCTTTTTTTGGCACTTCAAACAGTTGGGAATGTATGTTTGTACAAATCTCACCCTCGACTGCCATCCTAAAACATAATTCAACTACAACCTCTTTCTGTATGATATGTATATTTTATTTAACTATCGTATGTACTTCACACACCAACGCCGACTTATTACAAGACACATTTCCGCATTTGATTATTGGGAATATGGTGATCGACTTAGTACTATGATCGTTAATTTTGCCTCTTCTCTATGTTACCTTTCATCTTATACACTAAACTTCAAAACTCTCTCTCTCTCTCTTTCTCCCTTCCTTATATGTATATTAAGGGATCGCCTTAATCTCGTTGCCTAACTAATGACTCAACAGGTTGCCTTATTTTAGCGTTTAAGTTTCTGATCAGGAAGCTAGATATTTATAAACCTATTTTCTTTCGATATACTGTTATTATCTTGGTTTCTTTTTTGATTATCCTTAGACATGCATGCCCCGTGTCTGTGTGCGTGTGTGTATGTGATAAAATCAGGGGATTATTGGTTTCCAGCGTTCCTTTTTTTTATCCTTCTCGTTTACTCTCTCTAATGTATTGTACATGTATCTATTTTCTCCACTGAGATGATAATGACTATAGTGAATGACTTGACATATTTTAAGATTCAACAGAACAGTATTATTTTTGTCTTCTTGACTTTTTGTTTTTTGCCTAAGATTTCGTCTACTGTGACGCTAATTAATAACTATTGAGTATATGATTTACACCTAGTTTGTTTAAGGATATTCTATCTAGGCGTGTTTAGCATTCTAATTTTGGCAAAACTGTGTCACAGAATAGATAAATATACTTTCAGTTCGACTATCTGAAATAGCCGTGGTTTGCGAGACTTGTATTCATACCGGGTGATGGATGATCAAAGACAAAATGATAATTCAAGTGCCTATGGATTTGAATAAAAAGTTCTGACTGGGTGGGCATCCAGTGGAAGTACCATCTAGGGATAGTGACGCTTCAGTGATAATTGAAGTGAAATAAAATCTGGTCAGCAGTCGAGTGCCGCAGCTCAATTATCAAGTACCTGGTTGGGAACTCAGTGGTCGCTGGTTCGAATCCCACCACGGTCTAAACTTTCATTTTACCTTCAATCATCACCCAGTATTAATCAATATATGTGAAGTAGATGAAACAAAGTTGAACGTTGCACTAAGTTGTATTAGTTCAGGTTGCTAGCCTCTACAAAAGCAAGTAAAGAGAACGTTATAAGATAAGAATGACTCAGTAAAGATGGATGAAATCTTCAGGATTTCAAAGTTGATGGGAGAAAAAGTCTTGTACGTCGCTGTACTCAGTTTGCCTGTGAAATCTTGAGAATCCCAATCGAGCAGCGTATGCGGCCTTGATCAACAGTGAAACTTTTGTCCTCGACTGACCTCACCTATTGTGTGAGGACTAATGATACACACTAACTTGCAATGCAAACCTCGGTAGATAAGGTGGTGCTCAAACCTGTGACTCACAGGTTGCAAGTCAATTCTCTAAATCATATATGTTTATGCTAATGATGAGTACTTCTATGCCCACCAGATGGTTCACATTTAATCAACTGTTCAAGTATATCTTAATAGGTGAAACGTCATGGCGTTTATGTCACAAATGTTAAATAATCATGTTTTATCACAACAAATAAAATGATGTTATTCGGTGTCCTTTTCAAAAACTTATAGGGTTCATTCTCTTATCCACTAGAAAAGCCAGTTCAGGGTTTTTGATACAAAATTTTTCAAATCGACTTTCTTTTCCAATCATTAGTTAGTCAGTTGCAGATGTTACTTAGCTTCGCAATTTGGTTCTAAGAGTGTCTATTCTTGCCCATTCTTGTTACCTCTTAAGCGTACCCTCAATTCGTCCCATCACCTGATGTGGTCAGAGTACCACATATTTACCTATAACTTCATTACCTACACTTGACATTTGTCAACAACTTTTACGATAAATGACAAATTTTCTGAAACCCTAAACATGTGACAACCACTTCTGACTTTTTATAACATTGAACCTGAAAATATCTCAACTCGTTAAAAATTAAATTTTTCGAGCAATTTATAATACATTGAAAGTTTTCTTTATTCCTTCACCTGAGATAAAGTGTATGACACTGATAATTTCACAGCTAGATATATTCAGTGTACTAGGTATCTTGACAAAATAAAAAATGTGATCACTGTAGGGAAGAATGTTAACGTGCTAGTTTTTATTTGATGTAGTTCATAGTGATACATGATTATTTCTTGTACTGTATCAAATTAACATATTCATCCTCTTTTCTAATAGATACATAAATGGTAAGTAAATTCAAGCATGTAGAAGTTTATGGCCTTTAATCCACTGATTTTGAAATGATTGAATTCACACTCTAATTAGTGGAGCTCAACTTTATAATATTTACAGTGACCCAAAGAATAGTATGTAACAAATAGTATGCTGGATACATTTTATAACAATAGTCAAAACAATTTTATTTATTGCCTGGGAAAAGTACTGATGTACAACTTTTTAAAATGAAATGGTTGAAAAAAAGAAATTTCCCTCGCTGAAATCTTTATTTTCATCTATTAATGTCGGTAAAATATGAGAGCACAAATGTTTTCATTAATCAATGGGAAATTCTTTCGAAGTCTTGAATGCTACTTTTGAAAAACTACTTAGTAATGTTGAGAGGTACTTTAAAGGTCACCGTATACTTTAAAATGTTTCTTGATATGGATTATTAATTGGTTTTCCGTACACGTACACTTAATTAACTATTGTATGTCTGAAGTGTCTTGCCATTTTGAAAGTAGGTTACACAGTAGTTTTTGGTTAGATGATCACATCTAATTACCCTAACTGATTATTCAACTCATCTACATTTTTATTTATTGATACTTGTTATTATGCTATGTCTTTTGGCAAATGGGCTGGCATGATGATGAATCAATATTGTTGTTGTTTGTCCCTTAGGTTCCTAGTGGGACGTAGGGCTTCAATAGCACGTCACCTTTTCACTTTTCTCTACAGTTTTTTAAGCCTGGCTCCACAACTGCTCTCAAGCTTTCATTTCTTCCTCACACGATCTGCTAAATGTCACCCTCACACGTCCAACTCGTCGTTTCCCATCCAGGTTCCACTTGACAGTCTGGCTTGGGGTGTGATGTCGCTAAACCGTCTTCTCAGTCTATCTCAAATCCAATTCATCTCCACTTTCTTTTTCTGCACATTTGTTGGGGGATAGGTTGTCGGTTGGTTCGTTGCCAGCCAGAGTGAGTTCCTCTTTGCTTATTCTTTTTGGCCATCTGATCTTGAGTATCGAGTGAGCTGCCGTAGGTGGCAGCTGTTGATGATGTATGTATGCAGTCTGTTGGTAGTGATTTTCCTAACACGTCAAGTCACTCAACCATCACATGGAAGCACTGACTTGACTGACAGCAGTGTTGAAAATCCGGATGTTGTTCATACTTTATGCTGAGTGGAGTGGAGTAGATCTGCACACTGATTTCAGATTAATGAAGGAAGGCCTATCTTTCTGATACTGGCTTTGACATCCTCATCCGTGGCGCCGCCGCCTGTAGTTGAAGTGGTGCTGCTTAGGTACGTGGGTGAAAGAGAACTTTCTTTAGATTTCTCCCGCTGATGTTGATGAGTGCTTGTTGTTGTTAGTTGGGTATCTTCATCACCTCCATCTTTTCTACGTTCACCTGACGGGAGTCTTGTCTTCGCTGCCTCGCCGCTTCTGCTAACTTGTTAGTTTTTACCTGTAGATCTTCGAGTTTATGTAACACTAGAAATAAATCATCATTGGCGAAATCCAAATCTTCTTCTAGGGTCTTTTCATCTGTCAAACAGCGTGTGCTCATCTTCTCGCTCCTCATAGTTTGTTGCATGATCTAGTTCATCACAATCAGGAAGATCATTAGTGCTTCGATGCTGCCTGAATATTCCTTATGTTGTAGTTTAGTTGGTGTTTAGTGGTGGAATCAAGGACGTGGGTTTCGTCGTCTCATTTCGTACTTGTCATCTGGATGTACCTGCACACCAGTGAGTGATATTGTTCCCGCATACAAGAACTTAAGCATCGAAAGAAGAAACGATGGAATAATCAAAATATGGTATACATTACAAAAAACAAGGATTGAGTACTGTTTGAGTTGGCAGAGCTTTTGTTGAATTATTTTATTTAAAAAGAAATTCATAGCTAACTTGATAGTTAGGTGAATTGTGTGTAAGTTATTACTTAAAAACGGCACATTCCATATGAACATTTTTAAAGGCTAAGTAATATTTCAACTAACCATCTGTGATATCAACAAAGTTTTCGTTGGAAACCACCAACCTAAGAGCTTTGATACAAAATTGTCATCAACTGATAAAAAATGTACTAAACAATCGATCGATATAATGACTGACCTGAATTAGACAGGCAGACAGACAAAATTAACCTAGAACTTCGCATACAAGTCCATCGGTTCCACTTACCACACTTCACAGTAGCATGCAAAGCACAGGTGAAAAGAACAAGACTCATATCAAAGTAGGTAACGTTTTACAAAAGAATAAGCAATTTGAAGATAAGGGTTAGTGGGAATACTCAACCTATAGAAGACATCAAAAAATAAATACATCTGCACCACTATGACTGATTTCCAGCCATGTCACCAACAGTTCTCAGGTACTGATTCCTATTGTCTCAGGGACCCGAACCAAGCAGTCTATATCTCCCACACGACTCAAATCAATAGTTATGGACTTCATCGGCAGGTGCCACATCTTGGTCTGGCCATCGTGAACTCT